GGAAAATTTATTTTATTTTTATTATGTTTTAATTAACCTTACAGTATCTCAAGTTTTCCTTTTTTAAAAGTGGTTCAGATAAAACATATCATATGATACAAACAGTATGTAAAGCAGCAGTGGCCTTCTGTCAGGGCAAGCAAGGCAGCAGCGTTTGCCCAGTAAAATCTAACACACACACACACACATGCACACACACACCTTTTTCTGAAAATATCACATGATGTATAATAACACACTGCTCGTGTGAATTCTTTCATTGTGTTTTGTAGTTACTTTTACTCAATGATTTTTTTCCTTAGCACTTGCCATTGTTAGCTAATTGGAAATAAGCCAAGGAGTGCAGCAAGATGAAGAAAAAAAAAAAAAAGACAGGCAGTGCAAAATCATTAAAAAGGTATGTTTAAGTTATTATCTCTGCTTGCCTTTCTGTAAAAGTCACTGATGTAAAGAAACATTCAATTTTTCTGTCGAACTTGTGAAAAAGGCGTTAAAATAAACAGCCTAACATTCAATGAGTTGTTTTTTTCCCTTAAATGTTAGCCTATTAACTAAAACAATTAAGCTGGTGAACTTAGCCTAACAAAAACACTAGAATCTATAAAATGGGGAAACAGCTAACCTTGCTCTGTCCACAGCCCAGTGGTAAAAATGTGCCTACAAGTACATTTCTAACTAGCTACTTAGCATGTTTATGTAGCAAATTGTTCATGTGGTCACTTACTCTCATTGTTTGGCCATGCAAGCATGACTGATGTACACTATAAAGACTCATATACACCATTTTCATGTAACTTGGAGCTGATTAAAACAATTCGATTGGTTGCTAAAATTATTGTGCATTAACTGTTGATAACACAAAAAGGTAATTACACCAGGGCAATATTCTCTCTTCAGATTCTGCCAAATATGGCAAAACGGATTAAACAGCACTTCACAGTCCAAACAGATACCGCGAAAGCAACCCGAGTGTTTCTGAAGGCAAGTCAGTCATCTGATACCAAACTTACAGAGCAGCTTTTCAGTTATTAAATACAAAACGGAAGGCAGAGAGCTCCACAAACAACAAATAGTCTGACAGAGCATCTCATGGGAGGAAACACAGTTTGTTGTGACGACCATGAGTTCTAGCGTTTAGGCATTCATTGGCTGCAAAGGATCCATGTATTAAAAATATGGAAACTCAATAGATTTATACTTAAAATGATTAAAGTCTACATTTCTGTCACATCTTTGATTTTTGGTAAAAATCCTTGATTATAAAAAGTGTGTGTGTACTTGCAGGATGTACTTAAAGGATATGATGAAATTATGTAGCTGCAGGTGGCAACTGGCACATTTTTGCATGTAATGTCTACACCACGTAACTTCGTTATTGTCATTTCATTGAAGTAAAAGAAACACAAAAACGGTTGGGATCAGTAATTTGTTTGTGATGCAGAAATTCACATAAACAAAGAGGGAAAAAATATATATATTAGAATAATATTTTGAGATAAACACAGAAAATTAATGATGAAAATTGGTGTGGCATTTACATGCATTTTCATGACCCTGCAAACTAATTATTTTAGTTTTCACTGTGGTGTAAAAAAATGGATTAGAGGGATTCTGATTTCATTCTTTTCAACCACTGAGAGCTAAAACCAAGTCGAAGGCTCAAAAAGCATCTACATGTTAAACAGCGATTAAAATTGCATAGATTTCATACTTTAAGGTGGAAAATGTTCAAATGGGACGCGCTGTGATTGAAAGAAGTTGTGATTGTAGTTGTTTGGCCCTCCACTGCAAACACTTTGTGCTGTACTTAGCCCTCCTCCTCTCACATTAACATGCTTCTATCATTAACCCCCACGCCCCACCTACTGCATAATAGCTAGAGCTGCATGCAGGAGGGAGGAAATAAGAATGTTTCCTTTCTTTTTTTTTTTCCTGCGGAGCATCTTGAATGAATGATTGATGTGAGGGGAACGAGATCAGAAAGATATAATCACGGTCTAACGAACGCAGAGCCTTAAGAAATGTATACCGCAGGAATGCCATGAATTTATAAACAGACCATATATTAATATATAAGTAGCTGTTTGAAATAACAGAATCTGTTGTGTCTATCTATCTATGTGCAGGCTATGCTTTATAATCATTATTTGTGGAATACTCTGGTACAAAGCTTTGAAAGTTTAATTCAGGCTCTGCAGAGTCTCTTCATTCAAATAAACGTACAAGTTATTTCCTCGTGTACCATCCCAAACAAACATTAAACACACCCGTGTTCATTGTCAGCGGATAAACAAATTGCCATTTTCCTTGAGTGACGTATGTTTTGTGTGAAGACGTGCAACGCCAGAGCAGGGAGATAACTTCATTTCCGAGCTTTGAGCACAGATGAGGGCGAGACAGTTAGTCCGTGTTCAGTATATGAGCACCTTTCATGGGACAAATGGAATGTCAATCAAGAGCCGGTACACAGATGCTTTCTCCCTTGTGGGGACTGAGATGCTTTCTGGTGATGCGGCTCTGTTGTTCCAGCCTTACTCTGGGTGCACTGGGAATATTTTGTCCTTTTACCCCTCCACATCCCCTCGCTCCATTTCAGATCCCCTGACTATTAACGATTTCTTTAGCTCTCCAAGTTTGCCTCCTCGGGCTTTTCCTCTTCTCCACATCCATTTTTTCATGTTGGATTTTTGCACGGAAAGTTTTTGTTTTTTTAAAACCTCTCATTTCTCCCGGTGTTAGAGACTGTGGGAAAAGAGACAAAAAAGGTGAAAAACCTGAGATCGGCACTAAAGATGTTGACATCCAGAAAATATCTTCATATACAACCGATATGCACAACAAATATGTTTTAAAGGGAATCCAATTTCTTCTTCTTCTTAGATTTAGGCTGACATTTCTTGCAATCTGTATCTGAATCTGTGACCCTCTTGTTGCAACATTTTTCACCCTGATTTACTAAGATATAATTTTCAGCATGCATAGAACAAATCTTCAAAGTAGCTCCAAGCAAACCATAAAGCTGCATGTGTACGTCCACAAGGAAGTAAAAATGAGACATAACTTTGTATGAAACGCTGCTTCTGTTATTGTTGCTATGAACTCTAGACCCAGTTTAAGCGAGGTGATATACTGAATCATTTTTTTTAGAGAATGTCAATCTCCTAGCTTGAAAATGTCGCTATAAATTTTCAGTCTGGCTAAAAGCAGTTAATGTGGGTAGAAGTAAAAATCTGTATTTAAAAAGTGGACATAAGTTTTGTGTCTGAAAACCAATGCAGTTGCTTTTACGTTGTACTCTTTCTGATGGCCAGAAGGGGGCGACACCTGTCACCACAAAATTCATCTATGTGAAAGTGACACCTAGCTATCTTGTTATGTAGCCTTCACAAACACTTTCCTGACCAGTTTGTGGACTCGTTCAATGCTAATTTGTACATCACAGTGAAAATCTTGAGCGTTCATGTGATGATAAATGGATTAGCACAGTTGTCTAACACACCAGAGATCCCTGGTTCAAGAATGGGAGGGGACACAAATCCCTGGAAAGGTTGTGTAAAGATTATCCTCTTATATAGGACTATGTGAGGAGGGTAGAGTGATATTTTTTCAGGCTGGTATTGATACTATTATTTGGTGATTTTAAAATTGAGTGTTCCGATATGTCAGCAAATATATTTATATTTTGTTGATGATGTTGCTGATGATCCTATATAATCACCATTATATTTTTCTTTTCTTTCAGACACACAAAACATAAACCT